CGCCCGGCTGATTTTTTTATTTATTGTAGAGATGAGGTCTCGCTGCCCAGGCGGGTCTCGAACCTGAGGGCTCAGGCAATCCACTTACCTCAGCCTCCCAAAGGTGTGGAATTACAGGCTGAGCCACCGAGCCCAGCTGGAATTTGTATTTTTATCAATTGCCATTTTTGATGTAGCTATAGCTGAGTATTTGGGAACTTCCAATAGCTCTAATAAAAACTAGTTTATTTAAAACTGAATTCATCCCCTAAAACCACTGAAAACTATAATTGTAACTGTTAAAATTATGGCTCTTAATTGAAAATAATCATCTATTACCTAAACTCTCTGGACTTTAATATTCATATTGTCTAATAAAATGTGGGGAGCCATTTTATGCAGTGATTAACAGGTAAATGACAAACTCGTTTTGATTACAGAAAAAAAAAAACTGGGCAGTGTAGTAGATTAAGTTCACCCTCTGGTTTGTTCCATTCAGTAGTGATATTGTCTTCTTTGACACAGACCAGTTTATGTCTGACTTGGAACACCAGCCATCAGGTTCAGCAGAGAAATGGCCTAACCACAGTGTGCTCTCATGTCCAGTTCCTTTCTGGAGAATCTAGAGGGTGAGTGTCGATTGAAATGTGTCATTGTTTTTGTGCCCAAGTCTGGTATTGCATGCAGTGGCTGGATTTGCATGTGCTACAGAGGAGGGGGTATGCATGGACACCTTCTTGGTAGGCCCACTCAACATCATCTTTGGAGCTATGCTTTGACTGTAAGACTCTGCTTTTTAAATCTAACCTCACCCAGGCTCTCACATTTCTGCTTATAATTTTAGTCTGGGTTTGAATGAAAGGCAAATGTTTAGTTAGATTTCCTAAACCAAAGCAGAGAGGAGAGGTTCCATATATATAAATTATATGGCTTGGATTCTGAGTAAATTTAGTTGCTGATCAGGTGCATAAGCTTACTTGTTTCGGGTCAGGTACTCTTAAGTTTTGATGTAAATGGAAATAAAGCAGGAAATGTTACCCATTTTTCAGAGGCAACTGGGAGTATTTATTCTTGGTCTGCCCCATAGACCCGTGTTTTCATGCTCCTTGTAATTCATCTGGGACTTCACTTGAAGGGAGCCATCATAATGAGGTATCTGTGTTTAGGCCTTAGGTTCTAGACTCAGCAGCCAAACAAGAACAAAGCCTCCTCACACTGTCATGTTGCTCCTTTCTTCAAAGATTCTCAAAGTCACTAAAAAAGTATGTGATAAAAATTATAAACATACAGATTATAATTCTCTAAATGCCATTTGAATTTTATTTTAAAATCAGTTTAGATTAGGAAGGGGCCTTAGAAATCAGGTCCCCTGACTAAGCCTTTGTATTTAGGGTTCTGAAGCCTCCTGTGAATGTATTAGACAATACAGCCAAGCCCTGGCTTATACTAGAAGCTGGGCTTACATCATTCTTGTCTAACTGTGAGAGGAGTAGTGGCTTAATTCCTGCAATCAGTGTATATAAAACTATCAGGAGAGTTATAGCCAGAAGGATTTAAAATAATTTCCACCTATAAGTGAGAAAATCAGTTGCAGAATGATTAATTAAATTGCCCTAGTCATATCACAGCTAAACCAAGACTAAAGCTTATTTCTTCTAGTGTTTAGTCCAGTGCTGGTCCCACATGTGAAGCAACAAACTGGTTACTAGTGATCTTGGTAATATATAAGTGTTTCTGTGAAGTGGAGAGATCAGTGGCTTACTGAGTTAATAGGAGGTAAGACTATAGAAACTGCAGCGTAGACAGCTCCTTTAAGATGTTAAGCCATGAACGAAAGAGATAGAGAGAAAATGGAGTCTAGTGTTTTTGTTAGCTTGCTTGCTTTTTTGACATAGATTTAAGTGCTGGTGAGAAGGATCCAGGAGGTGTAGTAGGTAGATAGAGATTGATTAAATAAACATATAGAGAGTGAAGAAATGGATGGAGCAAGCTCTTGAAGAGGATCCAGAGCACAGGTAGTAGAATGAGTCCTGTGGATTTATGGTTATGGTACTAGAGCTCAGGTTTGGCCCCCAGAGATAATAGATTTGGAAGTCAACTGTGGACAGGATTATTCAGATATACAAAGTGAGAAAACAAAATAAGAAAAAGGGATTCTTCTGATAATTCTGAAATGCTTCTGAATCCCACATCTTCCTTCCTTCCTTCCTTCCTTCCTTCCTTCCTTTCTTCCTTCCTTCCTTCCTATTTATTTATTTAGAGCCAGAGTCTCACTTTGTCACCCAGGCTGGAGTGCAGTGGCACGCTTATGGCCACCATAGCCTCAACCTGCTGGGCTCAGGTGATCCTTCCGTCTTAGTCTTCCAAGTAGCTGGAACCACAGGCACACGCCACCATGCCTGGGTAACTTTTTTTTTTTTTTTGAGTCATAGTCTTACTCTGTTTCCCAGGCTGGAGTGCAATGGCATGCTCACAGCCACTGCAACCTTGACCTGCTGGGCTCAGGTGATCCTTTTGCCTCAACCTTCCAAGTTACTGGAACTATAGGTGCACACCACCACATCCAGCTAATTTTTGATTTATTGTAGAGATGAGGCCTTGCCAAGTTGCCTGGGCTGGCCTTGAACCTGTGGGCTCTAGCAGTCCTCTCACCTGGCATTCCAAAGCGCTGGGATTATAGACGTGAGCCACTGCACCTGGCCCTGGGTAATTTTTTTGATTTATTGTAGAGACAAGGTCTTACCATGTTGCCCAGGCTGATCTTGAACCTCTGGGCTCAGGCAATCCTTTCTCGCCTCTGCCTCCCAAAGTGCTTGGATTAAAGGCATGGACCACTGCATCCGACTAAATCCTACATCTTTTTTGTTTTGTTTTGTTTTTGTCTTTTTTTTTTTAATTTTTATTTTAAAGATGGGTACTATTCAGGATTGGGTATACAAATGGTCATTGTACAGGTAAAGTTTGGGCCTCACTTTGGTCTGGTCTCCACTTCACCTGGTTTGAGATCAGGTACCCTTATTGGTGAAGTGTACCGCCCCCTGGCATTTTACCGCTACTGCCAATCCCTTTCTTAAAGTATTATGATAATTGTTCAGGGTCCGCTTATGAGTGAAAACATGTGGTATTCGGTTCTTTTTCTGTGATAGATCACTGAGTATTATAGACTTCAAGTCCGTCCAAGTTGCTGTGAAGTTCATAATTTTGTCCTTCTTTATGGCTGTGAATACTGTATCTTAAACCAAATTGAGAAGTGTTTATTTTTTCACATTTCGGTTTTTGCTGATACAAAGGGCACATACTGATGCTTGAATATACTTTCAAGTACCTGTGTACTGTTTACTCAGTTGGAGATTTAATGTTTGTAGAATGTTTTGAGTTACAAACTTTTAGAAGAAAGATCTGAATTACTGAGTACAATATCACAAACAGCAGAGGTTTCTTAAAAAGAAAATAGTCTTAATAGGACTGGTCATCCCACTCAATTAGTTGTTCTTTCTTTACTAGTATTAGAGCTAATTTAAGAGTGAAGGATAGCCGGGCTCGGTGGCTCAGCCTGTAATCCTGTGCCTTGGGAGGCCGAGGTGAGTGAATTGCCTGAGCACACGAGTTTGAGACCCCCTGGGCAACTTGGTGAGACCTCATCTCTACAATAAATCAAAAAAATTAGCCAGGTGTGGTAGCATGCTCCTGTAGTTCCAGCTTCTTGGAAGGCTGAGGCGGAAGGATCCCCGGAGCCCAGCAGGTCAAGGCTGCGGTGGCCAGGAGCGGCCACTGCACTCCAGTCTAGGCAACAGAGTGAGACTCCAATTCAAAAAAAAAAAAGAGTGAAAGGTATCTTCAGACCATTGTGCATATATTTTTAATCTGTCCAGTGCCTGGAAGCTATTTAGAATTCAGGTTGAAATTGAAAATAAGTTAGTTAATAACCTGGCATGGGAGAGGTCAAGCTGGTTATCTTGGTTCTTGCTTAAAATACTTAAACAGTCATTAAAATTTTTAAATTTTATTTATGAAGTGTTCATTTCTAGGAATTAAACATTCTTTCTGTGTCATCTATCATTATGGTGATACATTTTCTTTTCATTACTAACACAAACTAATCTAGGATAACAGAGATCCCAAAATACAGCAGCTGAACCACATTGAAAATTTCTCTCATGTCTCATGGTAATTCAGAGATCAAGATTCCCTTAAAATAGTTGTTCGTCAGCCAGGCGCATCCTAGTACTTTGGAAGGCCAAGGCAGAAGGATTGCTTGAACCCAGAAGTTCAAGACTAGCCGAGGCAACATAGTGAAACCTCATCTCTACAAAAAATTAGCTGAGCGTGGTGGCACACATCTGTAGTCCCAGCTACTCGGGTAGCTGAGCTTGAAAGATCGCCTGAGCCCAGGATGTTGACGCTGCAGTGAACAGTGATCATGCCACAGCACTCTAACCTGGGCAACAGAGTGAGACCCTGATTAAAAAAAAAAAGTTGTTTTTCTTTCTCCTTAGGTTTTGTCAAAGCAAAGATGCCACTTTGAGTTTTAGCAAGGGTTTGGGGAAGGCAAGGAAGAGAGCAACCAAGCAGGTAATGAGGAAGATACACACATCACTTTTGCTCACATTTTATTGGAGAAAACTGGTTACATGGCCATATCTAGCTATCAGCTTCCAGCTTGGAAAGATAATCTGTAGCTGGATGTCCATGTGACTAGCCATTAACTTCAGTTACTAAAGAAGAACGAGTTAAGACAACAGCCTACTGTAAACACCTTCTAAATTTTCAGGAACTTATTTCTGTCTTTAGTTTGAGAAGGCAAATTAATTAGATTTTGATAAATGCAAATTAATTCCTTAGCTCATGCCATAAATAGGTGAATTCAGTATTTTACAGTGTTTCTTATAACTTATCAAATAACGTTGAATAAACCAGTAAAACTGTGCTTCAGAGCCGGGCTCGGTGGCTCTGTCTGTAATCCCAGTGCTTTGGGAGGCCGAGATGAGTGGATTGCCTGAGCCCGCAGGTTCAAGACCTGCCTGGGCAACTTGGCGAGACCTCATCTCTACAATAAATCAAAAAAAATTAGCCGGGCGTGGTAGCACGCGCCTGTAGTTTCAGCTACTTGGAAGGCTGAGACGGAAGGATCGCCGGAGCCCAGTAGGTCGAGGCTGCGGTGGCAGGGTGCGGCCACTGCACTCCAGTCTAGGTGACAGAGTGAGACTCCAACTCAAAAAAAAAAAAAAAAAAAATACTGTGCTTCAGAGTAATAAATAAACTATAAAGTAATACTAAAATTTTCATCATAGCTTTGTTTACTAGTAATAATTTAAAATAATTATATTCTTTTACTTCCAAATTTATTTTTTTTCTTCATTTCAAGTAAAATTTAGAAAATGGTTACTCTTAGACCAGGCGTGGTGGCTCATGCCTGTAATCCCAGCACTTTGGGAAGTGGATGCTAGAGGACTGCCTAAGCCCAGGGGTTTGAGACCAGCCTTACCAACTTGGTGAAACCTCGTCTCTATAAAAAAAAAAAAAATAGCTGGGTGTGGTGGCATGTGCCTATAGTTCCAACTATTTGGAAGACTGAGGTTGTGCCCATAAGTATGTCACTGCACTCCAGCCTGGGCAACAAAGTGAGACT